CCTTTCTTAATGTGACCTCACCAGAAAACAGCTTACTTCTCCCAAGTCTTTTACTTGTAATCTCCTGCCTTGCATTTATTTGGCAGCCTCTTAGTAGTGCTTTCTATTTGGTCATCTGTCCGTGTTCATATGTATATTGTATTCTATTCCAAATAAAACCATTATGTTTTCAGACATTTGATCCTTAAGGAGCTGGTTTCTGTAGGAATGTTTTGTGTAGTTTTCTTTTTCATATCTGCAGAAGGGAGCAGCAGCTCAGTGAAAAATCTTGCTAGAAACGTGAATGTGTAAAATACAGGTTCATGCACAAAGCCACACCACATCAAACAGCCGTGAAGAAGTGTACTGATGGCAGGGCTGGGCAGAGGGTGCTGTAGGTGTGTGCATTTAACAGTGCTTGTCTCAGGAGCTGCTTGAACTGAGCGGGATCATTTTTCCTCATTGCTTCTCAATGGGCAAAGCTGTTAACATTGCTCAAGCAGTGCTGCCCCACTCCCACCTGCCATACACTTGCAGGCTGTAATTTCTTGTGTTGTCCTTCTTCCCCCACTGGTCAAACGAGTGGTTTGGAATAAAGGCCTATGTGCAGCATGGTATATTGCTGTAGCACAATAGTAGGTCTTTATGGGGTGACACTCCTGCAGTCTCAGTTAAATTCATGAAAGGTATTATTTTGCCCCTTGTACGGTCACTAAGATGTTCTTAATAGGAATGTACCAAAGAGCTTTCTGGCCTGTATGTGTTCAGAGCAGTTACATTGACACCAACAAGAGAACTTGTAGCAGTGAATGTTGTGGGTTTTCTTCATAATAAAAAGAATTCTAATGAGATCACTTTTTCTAAAATGGCAGGTAAAGGGAGAAGAAAGGCAGAGGCTGTCATGACTTCTGCTGGTCTTCTCTTTTCTGATCAGTGTTTGGCTGTCAACTTAGCTAGAATATTGGCCCTGTTGATAGGCCTTCATTGTCTGCTTGGAAACCACCTTAAATACCTGTTTAATTGCTGCTTTAATGAGATCAGTGTGATGCTCTCATTGGTTGTGTTGCACAATGGCTAAAAAAGGTCTTGTGTGGAGCTCCTGATGGAAATCAGATCATCTGTCAAAGAGGATATACCTGTCAAGACCTGGAGTATTTGAGTCATAGAATAGTTAGGGTTGGAAAGGAGCTTAAGATCACACAGTTACAACCCTCCTGCCATGGGCAGGAACACCTCCCACTAAACCATGGCACCCAAGGCTCTGTCCAACCTGGCCTTGAACACTGCCAGGGATGGAGCATTCATAACTTCCCCGGGCAACCCATTCCAGTGCCTCACCACCCTCACAGTAAAGAAATTCTTCCTTATATCCAATCTAAACTTCCCCTGTTTAAGTTTTAACCTGTTACCCCTTGTCCTGTCACTACAGTCCCTAATGAGAGTCCCTCCCCAGCATCCTTATAGGCCCCCTTCAGATAACAATTCTCTTTTCATTGAGCTAGGTACAGTATTTTGCCACAGTCATCTGCCAGGCACTTAGATTTCAATCCAGACAGAATGCCCTTAAGATTCCTCAGTTTGATTTCCCTTTTCTGGTATTATCCAGGATGGCTCTTGGCTTTTGTGTGGTGCCAAATGCTGTCAGCCCACCATGAAAGGATTCTTAATGCCTCAGGAAGAAAACATGAATCACCTTAGGGTGTCAGGTGGCTGAATGGATCAAGCTTTCAAAAGATGAATCTGTGTAGGAGGATGTGCCTTTTAAAGTGTATTACAAGAATAACTTGCTGTCATCTGAAGGGAAGTTCGTGTGTGAGCAGGTAAGGATTGTTGTCATCGTTATTGTAAGTATTTCTGAACGGCTTTGAGCAGATAATATGCCCATTGGGGTTACCCTGGGACTGTTAACTTTGACACTGTCCTAGTGATTCCTGCCCTGTTCTGTCTGCCATCACACTCCCTGAAGGTACCTACAGCAGCCCTCCTTATCCGCGTCTCCTCGCAGAGGTGTCCTGAAGCATCAGGCAGCCTGTTCGGAGCCAGCTCTTCAGCAGATGCAGGTGAGGAGATGCACACCGTTCTGTGTCAGCGGACTTAGCATCTAGAGGCGTTACTTTTAATTATCGGTTTTAGGAACCTGGTAATTGACCCTGTCCGTGTTCAGTGTTGGTGACACCGGTGCGGGACTGACAGGGCAGCTCACGGCTGACAACCGCTGGTGAACAGGAGAGCTGCCCGCAGACCGCCGGCAAGCTTTAAGATCCTGCCTGAGGAGGCCGGGTGTCTCTTTCATTTTAGTGAGGTGCCAGGGTGTGACGACTCTTGTGCACAGGCTAACCTAACCCTAGCCCTGATTCTGTGCATCAGAGCTGTGCTGAGTTCACCTTCATGGAGGGAGTACCCTCAATGACAGCACCATCAGAACGGGATACAGGTGTGGTGCTAAAGGAAAGCAAGGGAAAGAAGAGCTCTTCTCAGGCATGCCTTTCATGGGGAGCTGAGGTAGTGCAAATCAGGTTTAAGGTAGATAAGAGGCTGGAAATGACTTCAGGGTACGTGCCTTAAAGCATCATCTGCAGTTTGGAGCTAAGAAGCAAGTAGCAGTGATGAGCTGGAAGGAATAATTGCAATGCTAATAGCTGCTTAGAGGAGTAACCATAATTGCTGATTGCACAGAGCAATCACCCACAGTTGTCATGGCCAGTGAGGTGGCAAAGATCGGGAAATTCAGCTGGATTCTTTCTTTCTCCTCAAATAAGGAAATGTGGAGCTTAGAATAGCAACTGTGAACAGTGAATCCAAACAGCAAAAACATGTGTGGGAGCTTCTGATCTGCTTCCCTTGATACCATCAGTGAACATTTACATAGGTTGCAGAGACTCCTTCATCACTTCCCTTTGATAATCATCTAATACACCAACAGCCAGCATGTTTCCATTTGGAATGAGCGCCTCCAGGAATGGCAGAGCCTGAACCCCAGAGCTGACACCCCATAGTAGTTTGTGATCCCAGCTGCTTATGAGACCAACATTTGTGAGAGAGGAAGGATTCATTTCATTGCACCTGAACATCCTGATCTGGCCTGACCCGAGCCGAGGCCACCAGCCCTCTCTGCCTGCACAGCCTCCCCAGTCCATTAGTAACCTAGTTTGAAATGTAATGGGAAGGAGGTACAGAGCCAAGGAAATGTTTAACTTGATTATGCTCATCAGTGGCAGTAATCTATTCACACAGAAGCATCCCCCGGGCTAGTGATGGGCTATTTTTAAGGCTGTCCTGCCTGCGAGTTGCTAAATGCTCAGTTATTTGTGAGCATCATTTGTAATAAATCCCACAAGCAGTGGTGGGCATTTCACTTCTTAATCATTTGCAGTAGTTTTGTTGGTGTGGGACAGCTGACACGTCTGTTGTACGTCCTTCAGTTGTACAGCTCATGGGTCTAAAACTACCTTGGGTTTTTCCTTCCAGCAGGATTTAGGGTTACCCATGAGACATTTCCAGCCAGCCCTTAGCTGGCACGGTGCAGTTCTGCAGGCAAGACAACAACTGCTAGGATGTTGTCACAAGCGCCCTCAAAACAGGGCTCTGGAAGGGTTTGGCAAACCCTGATGTTTTCATCCATTTCTAGCGGTGTTAAGACACACCATGAAGCATGGATTCACTTACAGAGAATCAATTCACTTATGGAGAATGCATGAAGCTCTCATAGTCCCTTCTCCTAACATGCAGAAAGGCGGCATCCCACATTGTGACTGTTATTGCAGGTGGTCACCAAGTCCCCCAGCAGGGTTCTGCTGGTCTCAACAACCTGCACGACATCCTCAGCAGCTTGGGCTTGCATCCAGATGCCCCACAGCAGGGATTTGCACCCGCAGCCGGATGCCTCAGCTCTGCCAGTGTCTGTGGGATACTGGAGCAACACACATGGAGCAAGTTCCTGGCGCTGGAGGAGTGAGGCTGACAGAAGCTGAGTGAGTCTTATTTGGCACTTGAAAGGGGCCCAGTCCTGGCCTGAGACTAAACCAATGCGTTTAGACTGAAGAAGGAAGCTGAGTCCTTGGACTTGTTCAGTCCCTTTTTATTCCTACAGATCCTGCCAGCAGCCTCCTTCACTGGGAGACCTGTGGGAAGTGTTTGAGCTCAAAGTGTACCTTGGCAAGGACCCAAGCACACAGGGTTCACGTTTAGACCTGGCACCTCACAGATGACCCAAAGGCCTCCGAGGTCCTTCTGCCTCCACAGCAGGCCATAGACACCTTTTCTCAATGGCCTTTGTATGTATTGGGTCCTTCCTGCTTGAAAGTGTTTTAAAGGAGCAACCCCTCAGAAAGGTCCATCTGCAGCAGTGGGGTTTGAGCATGAAGGTGAGTGAAAAGAGACGGGGCTGTTTCACGTGCTCTCTCACACACAGAGCATGTAGAGGGACAGTGATATTCCCAAGGGATCAAACTTGAGTGTTGTTCTCAAGGCTGCAGCAGGCTGGGGACATGCATTGCTGATGATAGGAACTGCCTCATGGCCACTGTTGGAACTGGGGAGTGTGCTGGGCTGGTTGGGGTGAGCATCAGAGCACAGGCAATGGGATACCCAAGGACCTGTTCAGGATAAGGGGCACTGGGATTAAAAGGCAGCTCTGACAGCCACTAAGTCCAGTCCTAAAGGTGTGGGAACCCCTTCCCTGTGCTATCAAGTGCAGGCTGGTGCCTCACACATGTGAATGGCCCTCTGTGGGGGAGCAATGTCCCATGTCCACAAGCAGACTGCAGCCCCAGTGTTATTGCTTCCCAGTGTCAAGTCGGTGTGTGAGCTGATCAAAATCCCTGGGCTCACATCCTTCCCAGAAACGCCAGTCAAACCCCAAGCGGCTATTCCCCCAAAGTACCAATTTTGTGGCCCTCTGTGTGTCTATAATCTATTTACCAGCATTCCTACTCCAGTATGTGCCTGTTAATAAGATTAGTAATTAAAAAGCTTGATAGGAATTGGCAAGCAGAGCTCCTCCGCCTTTCCCTCCCCTCCAAGCCAGGCTGGCGCGGAGTCTGAGGCAGGGCTGGCAGAGCACCTGGAGGAGCGAAGGCAGGAAGGCTTGGCTGGAACCTCTGCCTGCAAGCAGGCAATGGAGAAATCCCGGCCGCTATGGGACAATCCCCTGCAGTTCGTTTTTGCCTGCATTTCCTACGCCGTGGGGCTGGGAAACGTGTGGAGGTTTCCATACTTATGTCAGATGTACGGAGGAGGTGAGTGTGGTTTATGTTTCTTGCTTCCCTTCAGGCAGAGTGTGGCAAGCTTTAGATCCCAATGAGTGCTGTCTGTGCTAACATGCTATCCACTTGGCAGGGCCCAGGGCAGGCTTTTTGTTGGTGTGCAATCTCTTCTATTGCTGCTTTGTTTTAGCTATTATCTAGCGTAAGAGATCCAGCCCAACACAGCAACACTCATTCCCTAGAAGCGCAATGAAGTGGGAAGGCCCGTGTTTGCTGAAAGGATGGAGGTAGAATGAGAGATGTGGGACCACATGGTATTGATTTCTTACTTTCTTGCCCCATTGAACCCCCCTGAAGGCATCAGAAACTAGTTCAGTCCCTTGTAGCTTCACGTGTGGGCACTTGGAACATATTGGGAAGGGGAGATGCTTACACTGATTTAACTTAAGGAACAGGTTTATCATTTTGATTCTGCCATGACTGAGTTGTCTTTTATACAAAGCCTTCCTTCAGGAGGTAATAACTTGGCTGCAAATCTGCCTTGGACTTGGCTGAAACTCCTTAATCAACAGGAGTTCCATGGCTAATGGCTCCTGGGAAGCATTGAAAACAAAGGATAATTCTGTTGGGGCTCCAAAAGGAAAGCTCTTTGGATGTTTGTGTTTCTCCTAGGTCCAAACTGAAGAGAGAGGATGTCTGTATCATACAGCAGCCAGAAATGTCCTCCCTTAGAAACCAAAGTCAGTTAATTAGATTAACTAAACACCAATGTTAATAACCTCTTCTAGCATACAGCTACCACTGCTTCATACTCATGTTTTGAAGAATCCTCATAAAGAGCCTCTCTTTATAAGACAGCCCAGTTATCTACTGCTTCTTACACTGTATCTGTTGCTACAGCGTTGGACCCATCTCAGTTGTGCATTAAGTGACATGATGAGCATCTGCCCGTTTGCTTTTGGTCTGCTTCTGCCTTTTCTTCCTTCCAGGAGGGAGCACGCTGAGTTGTTTAAGTGCTTTGTGCTTGTTTTGTGCTTGTTTTGTTGGCTTGTAGCTTCCTTCTGGGATCTGGGGAGGAAAAGCCATGTAACAGTGGGTGAGGTTAGAGTAGAAGCTAGATGCTAACAGGGGGGAAGCTGTCTTAGATGGTTCAGAGAGCAGAAATGATAGCCACGATGCAATTCCAGGTGTATTATTCCTCTACATAGATGCTTTTGAGGGTGAAGACTTCATGACTTGCAGTGAAGTCCACCACAAGTCCCAAAATGCAAGTGTTCCTTGCTGCACGTGATGGGTTCACCATGGCAGACCTGCTGAGGGACAGCACAACTCAGGCACTGGGAGGCTTTGCATGGTTTGGGCTTAGCGACCATCAGCACTGGTGGAAAGTCTGTGATGTAACCAGAGCTGGGCCACTTGATTAACCTGGGGAAAGAAGAGGGTAAATTAACCCAAGGGTTTTGTGAACAGCATCTTTTGATAGGAATAGCTCCTCCTCTATTTTATCCTCCCTGGTTGAATTCCCAGGGGAGAGCAGCTCTCCCTCCCGTGAAGCCAAAGCTCCTGACAGCAGGCTTTGCTTTTCTTGTTTTTCACTCCAAAGGATTCCAAGCATCAGGACAAAACATCATTTCAGGAGCTCAAACGCTGGCTATGCCTGGCACTGGGCTTAGGGGGCACGCCAGCAACTGCTTCTTTGGCATCTTCCTTGCAGAAAAGCACAGAGCCTTGTCCTGCCCAGCAGAGCAATAAGCCCCTTATCACTGCTGATACCCAAACAGGGTATCTGCAGACCTTACAGCCTCCTACCTTTCTGTTCACTGGCACATTACCTCTTCCTCACTGCTGCCCTCCAGAGAGCTTGACCTGAGCAGAGCAGCAGGTTCAGACCTCACAGGTGCAGTGAAGTCTGTCCATGAGCAGGTTGGAATGGGATGGGTTTGCAGCACGGTGGGGGCTCAGCAAGGAAGCCCCTGGGCATCAGGCAGGATGCTGAGCAGAGGCCAAGCCCAGTGCCATGACCATGCCTGGGGCACACTCCACATGTGCCAGCGGCAGGGGGCTGGCCTGGGGGGCTGTTCTTTCAGGTGGTTGGTACCATAGGGAGCAACACTGGGTGTAAGTGAACAGGGAGGTCACAGCAGACAAAGAGCTGGTCCATATGGCTGCACTGAGGCACTTATATGAGGCATTTTGGTTCTACCCTTTAGGAAAAGTAACAGGGAGAAGATGGGGGGCTTGGAACTAGATGAACTGCAGGGTGCCTTCCAACCCTAACCATTGGAACAGACATCAGGAATGAATTCTTCCCTGTGAGGGTGCTGAGGCGCTGGCACAGGGTGCCCAGAGAAGCTGTGGCTGCCCCATCCCTGGCAGTGTTCAAGGCCAGGTTAAACACGGGCTTGGAGCAACCTGCTCTAGTGTGAGGTATCCCTGCCCATGGCAGAGGGTTGGAACTGGATGATCTTAAGGTCCCTTCCAACCCAAACCAGGCTGGGAATCTGTATCTGCATGCAAAGAGGGTGCAGAGCAAAGGGCAGGGGGTTCATCCTGAGCCCCCCTAGATGCAGGGGGATGCTGGGGTGAAGAGCAAGCCTGAAGGCGCTTCTCCTTGTGCAGTGTCAAAGCCAACTCTGTACACGTGGCAGCACTGCTGGGAGAGCCTAAATCTGACCCCCCCCTCCCATGGTACACGGCAAAACTCCCTTGGGTGGCTGCGGGGCAGCTCGCACCCAGCCAGGACGGAGGGGGTGCGAGCTCTGAAGGCCCCGAGAGCACAGGAAGTTACCTAACAGAGTAACAAAGGGGTTGTTAATAACGGGGAGCCAGGAGGGGGGGAGATAATTCCCAGCATAAACAGGATTATTGCCCAGTGTTTATTCCCAGTTCCTTGCCCCAGTCACTGCCGGCGCTGCACAGAGCCCATGGCCAGGAATGTTAATGCCGCAGATTAAAGCCTAAATAAGAGATGTTTACGTCAGTATCTCTGGCTGGCTGTAAGCAGGGGAGCAGGAAGGGCTCCCTGACAATCCCGGGCTCGCCTCAGTCAGCAGTGTGTGCTGAAGGGAGCCCCGAGTCCAGGACAAGGGTTTCTTTCCTTTGCCAGCTAAAGCACATCCTGATGGCCAGGTGGGAAGGTCCTTCCTGCTCCCTCATCCCCATCCCTCATCCCATGCCTTCCACAGGAGCATCCCTGGGGCTCCCTGTGCAGGGATGAGCAGGCACAGGGTGGGAGAAGGCTGCGTGCAGGCAGGACCTCTGGGGGAAAGCCTGCACAGGCTCAGTATGGGGAAGGGGAGAGGGTTTGTTTGGGGTGTTTTTAAGCCAGGACAGACATCAGCAGTTACTCAGAGCTCTCCATTCCACACGTGCTTCGCTGTTACTTTTCCATTGAGTGCTTTGGCCATGCACAAAGTAAATCTTTCCCTCGGCCTCTTTCTGCCACTATCCTTCACAGGGGTTGGCCGCAGTCAGTTACCCTTTAACAGCCCCAGCCCCCAGCATTGCTCAAAGGGAAGCATCGGGGCAGCGCTGCCACGCACACTTTAACAGCAGAAACCCCAGCTCTGCCAAGGGCCCTGGCACGTTCCCCATGCCCAGTGCCCACCGGCTGTGGGACCCCACCGGTGAGATGGGGTCGAGCTGGGCTGAGCCATTCCCTCCATACACAGGGTGCGGGGCAGGACCCATCCCCAGCCAGCTCCTACCGGTGTGATGGGACCACCAGTGGTGATGGTGTTATCCTGCTGCCCATCTCCTCAGTGCCATCTCTTGGGTTTTCCCTGCAGGAGGCTTCCTGATCCCCTATTTCATCATGCTGATTGCCGAGGGGATGCCGCTGCTCTACTTGGAGCTGGCCGTGGGGCAGCGCATGCGGCAGGGCAGCATCGGTGCCTGGAAAATCATCAGCCCCTACCTCTGCGGTGTCGGTACGTGCTCGGTTTGCATCCTGAGCTGTCGGGGCGTGGGGCACGGGGGTGGGTTCTGGGTGGAGGAGAGCTTTGCCTTGCACAGAGAAACCAGGCAGGAGCTGGGGTTTCACTGGGGCTCCCCAGGCTGAGCAAAGCCTTTCTCCACGCACCTCCTGGAACACGTTTCCCCTGTCCCTTGTGGGACACTGGAGCCAAACCCCAATGCACTGTGCAGGGTCCCTGGGCTCGGAGGTGTGAATCCCCCTGCCCTCAGTCACCGTGTGAAGGCCAGCACTGAACCCAGCCCCTGGGGCTGCCTGCACTGGGATTTGACCCCAGGAGCAGCTTCCCAATAAGCTCCACACTGCGTGATCAAACTGTACCCTCATTTCCTGCCTTTGCCTATCATTTACTGATCGTGGAGTCAACCGGGTTGGAAAAGCCTTTTAAGCTCACCCAGTCCAACCATTCCCAGCACTCCAAGGCCACCACTAACCCATGGCACTGAGGCCTCGTCTCCACGCTGTGTGAACACTTGCAGGGACGGTGACTGCAGCCCTGCCCTGGGCAGCCTGTTCCAATGCCTGAGCACCCTCTGGGGAAGGAATTGTTCCTCAGCTCCATCTAAACCTGCCCTGGTGCAGCTTGAGGCCGGTTCCTCTTGTCCTGTCCCTTGTTCCTTGGGAGCAGAGACCGACCCCACCTCACTCCAACCTCCTGTCAGGCACTTGTAGGGAGCCATCAGGTCCCCCCTGAGCCTTCTCTTCTCCAGACTGAACCCCCCAGGTCCCTCAGCCGTTCCCCATCACACTTGTGCTCCAGGCCCTGCACCAGCTCCATTGCCCTTCTCTGGCCCCGCTCCAGCACCTCAATGTCTCTCTTGTAGCCCACTCTTAGCTATGTTATTATGTTATTAAATTACCCTGATAACCCAAACTATCATTGGCTTCAATGCACATTTTTAAGGCTATATTGAATATTCACCCTGGAGTGGCTGAAGTGTAAAATCCAGGGCAGGACGGCTCTGAGGGGAGCAGGAGGCAGCTGCAGCAGTGGGGGTGCACAGGAGACCCCCCCCATGGCCACTGTTATGGGGCCCTGGCTGTTTTGGGGCGTTGCCATTGACCAAGCGCCTTCCTCCGTGCCCTCAGGTGTTGCCAGCGTCGTCGTCTCCTTCTTCCTCTCCATGTACTACAACGTGATAAATGCCTGGGCCTTCTGGTACCTCTTCCACTCCTTCCAGGTGAGTGGGCTCCCGGCAGCAGGGCTTGGCCTTGCCGTGGCCACAGAGGGTCACGGTGGCTTTGCATTGGTGCTGGTTGTTGCATGGCACTGTTCTCAGCTGGGAATGGGGGCCCTAAAAGCTTCAGAAACCCTCCCAGGGCCTCTCTGGAGGGAAAAATGAGGCCATGGTGTCCCCTTCCAGGGGCTCCCCGGGGGCACTGGGGTGTCTTCTCCTCACCATGTAATGAAATGGAGATCAGGGACAGTCCCATAATGGCTTGCTCTCATGTGCCTTGGTGGCCCTGGTGTCCAGCACCACAGGACGGGTCTGTCTGAAGGCAGGGGAGACGGCTGGCACTGGGGGAGACTCATTCCCGGGTTAGAGCATCAGAGAGGCTCAGTCCTCAGGGAGGAGGCCATCACCCCCAGGGAAGAGGGTCAGGGCAGGCCTTGGGAGCACAGACTGCAGCACCTCCGTGTCTCTCTTGTAGAGAGGGGTCCATCCCCAGCCCCAGGCAGCACAATGGGGACACGAGCAAGCCCTGGGCAGGAACCCCCCTCACCATCACCCCCGCTGGCAGCCTGGTTCTCCCTGTGTGCTGGCAGCAGGAGCTCTTCCTCCCTGTCCCTCCCTCCCAGGACCCCCTGCCATGGGCTACCTGCCCCCTGAACCGCAACCGCACCGGCTACGAGGAGGAGTGCGAGAAGACGTCGCCCACCCAGTACTTCTGGTACCGGCAGACCCTGAACATCTCCCCCTCGCTGGAGGCCAGCGGCAGCCTGCAGTGGGAGCAGGCGCTCTGCCTGACGCTGGCCTGGCTCGTGGTCTACCTCTGCATCCTCCGCGGCACCGCGTCCACCGGCAAGGTGAGAGCTGGGCACAGGGACTCTGCGTCAGGGGCTGTAGCGATAGGACAAGGGGTGATGGGTTCAGACTGAAACAGGGGAAGTTCAGGTTAGATCTAAGGCAGAAGCTCTTCCCTGTGAGGGTGCTGAGGCACTGGCACAGGGTGCCCAGAGAAGCTGTGGCTGCCCCATCCCTGGCAGTGTTCAAGGCCAGGTTGGAGCAACCTGCTCTAGTGTGAGGTGTCCCTGCACATGGCAGGGGCTTGGAACTGGATGATCTTAAGTTCCTTTCCAACCCAAAGCAGTCTGGGATTCTATGACATGGGGAGGATAAATGAGCGGCTGTTACCTGGGGTTATGGCATCTCCCCCAGCCCCACTGCCTCTGCTGCTCTGTTAGGTTGCAACTGAAGGAGATTCAACCAAAACACTGAGTCATATTGATAAAAATAACCCAGGAAAGTGCTTTGAACGCAGCCACCCCTGCTCCAAACCCAGCCACCGAGCTGCTGGCCCTGCAGGAAGCCACCCAGCACAGCAGTGCTGCGGCAGTGGCAGGAGACATCTCTTCCTCCGTCTCTGCAACAAGAAGAAGACATCAACCAGGCATTTTCAGTCACTTTTTACTCACAGCAGAGGTTATGAGGAAGGGGGGAGGAAGCAGTGTCCCGGCTGAGCCTGCACTAAGCAGCGAGCTGAGGGCTGTAATCCCCAAATCGTCTTAGCCAAGCACAGGAACCAAGGGCCTGTAAACTCGGAGCAACCTCTGAAACCTGCTGCAGCCCTGGGGCAAGAAAGAAACAGTCAAGGAGCATTGAACCAGCAGGAGCAGCACTGGGTTTGGGCGGTTTGTTTTAATGGGTGTCAGGTAGGTTTTATGTATGCTCCTGGGTGAGCCATTGGGGCACATCCAGCAAAGAGAAGGCAATGGGATTCTCCCTTTTTTGTTTCGCAAGCGGCTTTTTCCAACATGGACATTGAACACTTAAGTTCAACTCCAGGGGGTGAGCAAAAGCTCATAGAAGTCAATGGAAGGATTTAATTCCACCCCCATCTGGGTTACATGAAGTTAAGAGCCTTTTCCACATCTGAGTTAAAGGAGCTTCATTCAAGTTTGGTTCTGGCCTTCTAGGAGGTCTGACTATAGCAGATGAGCTCTGTCTTATGCATTCTTTAGACCAAGGTATTTCTCCTCCTTCCCCCAGGTCGTCTATGTAACAGCCTCCTTGCCATACTGCGTTCTCATCATATACCTCATCCGAGGATTAACCCTTCACGGAGCTGTGAATGGGCTCATCTACATGTTCACACCAAAGGTACACTGAACTGGTCAGGAAATGCTATTTGTTGCCAAACATGTAGGGTTGTTAAAAGGTGGTGCTGCTGCTTGTGCTTGTATCGAGTGTTTGCAGCAGCAGCTCAGGTCAGGCAGCTGGAAACCCCGAATGGGAATGGCTGGAGGCTGTTTTGACACAGTGCTCATAAGCTGCTTGCTTTCTCCTGCCCAACAAGACCTGCCCATCAACGTAAGGCAGAAGCTCTTCCCTGTGAGGGTGCTGAAGCGCTGGCACAGGGTGCCCAAAGACGTGGGAAATGCCCCATCCCTGGCAGTGTTCAAGGCCAGGTTGGATAGAGCCTTGGCTGACGTGGCCTAGTGTGAGGTTCCAACCCATGGCAGGGGGTTGGAACTGGATGATCTTAAGGTCCTTTCCAACCCTAACCACTCTGATTCTATGCTTCTATAACCTGTAGTGTTACTGTCAGACTGAGCAGTAACCCTGCCCCAAACCCCACCTCTGAGCTAAACCAGGCGCACAGGGCAGCGCCAGACATCCGTGTGCAGCCCCACACCCCTGCTCCACACATGTGCCTTTGCAGCTGGAGCAGCTGTCGAACCCCAAGGCATGGATCAGCGCTGCCACGCAGATCTTCTTCTCTCTGGGGCTGGGCTTCGGCAGCCTCATCGCCTTCGCCAGCTACAACGAGCCCAGCAACAACTGCGAGCGGCACGCCATCATCGTCTCGCTCATCAACAGCGCCACCTCCATCTTCGCCAGCATCGTCACCTTCTCCATCTACGGCTTCAAGGCAACCTTTAACTACGAGAGCTGCCTGAACAAGTAAGCCCTGGCATTCCGCTTGTTTTCCACCCCAGCTGGGCAAGCAGAAGGGGAGAGGGGAGGTAAATAAGTAACAGCGTGGAGCGCTGCCAGCGCTGCCCTGAGATCACCCCTGATACTGCTCTAATAAAGCTAATGGGGCTATTTAAAGTGATGGAGGCTGAGATGAAAGGTCATAGGAAGCTTGACTTTCGACACCTGGTTGTGCCAGGTCAAGAGGGTGAGTTTGTGCTGTGGAACCGAGTGTATAGGAACGCTAAAGGAATCACTGTCAGAGACAGCAACAGATGTGATCTTAATGGAAATTTCTAAGTGTGTGATTCAACAGAATCCGTTACACACAAGATGAGATCATGTCTGGATTGGTAATGGTTTATACAGGATTAAAGTGATTTACACAGAGTGGAATTGAAGTAATGTGTATAGAAACTGAAGGTACAAAGGAGTAAGGGAGACCTTCCTTCCTGTTGAGTCACAAGGTGAGTAAGGGAGACCCTCCTTCCTGTTGAGTCACAAGGTGAGTAAGGGAGACCTTCCTTCCTGTTGAGTCACAAGGTTCAGACGAGACCCCCTTGCTTTGGCTGGATTTAGACTTAGTATCAGACTTGGCCAATGGTTTATGTCTATAGGATGACACATGCAATTTAATAGAAGTCTGTGTTGTTAAAATGAATCACAAGGTTTCTAAAACACTAGAGTATTGAAGCTAATGTACACGCACTTACACATAAGTATCTAAACTCACACAACACAGCAAGATGGAGCTGTGTGGATATACAGATGTATAGATGTTAAAGATTGCCCTTGGGTGCAGTGACAAGTGCTATTACTGGTATTACTATAGTATTATATTGCTAATAGTATACTCATGTGAGGTTTCTCAGCACTCTCAAGGGGCAAAGGTTTGAGAATCAGTGAGCAGCAGTAATGGCCCAGGCAGATAATCCCCCTATGTCATAAACTTTGGGGGTTTAGGGGCTCTGAGAGGTGTCCCACAGTCCAGAAGAGCTCAAAGGGGCTCTCTTGGCACCACTGTTTATAGAGGGTGAGATGATTGCCTTTAGTCAGTGCAAATTTTCATCCTGGTATAATGTCTTTGTTGGGAATGATTGACCATCTCCAAAGAGCTGATATGCCAAGGGAGTGTCCAGGCCTTCCTGTTATCTGCGTGGTCCTTCCTGCCTTCGTTACGTGATTGGAGTTAATGGTCAGGGGGTGTCCAGACATCCAACTCCATGCATTTATGCAAAGGCTAATGGGAATTCTTGGGGAAGCAGAGGGGTCCAGAAGAGAGTGGGGGGATGGAGCATCACAGTTGGCTTGGGCACAGCTTACCTGGTCCTGGTGTGTGCTCTGGTGGGGGCTGTGGGCTTATTAATAAAACATGGAGATGCTCAGATCCTTCCCTTAAGGCTAAGCCCTGTGGCAGGATCTCAGCCTCCTTGGCAGTGATGCTCTGCAGGTGCCCAGAGCCTGCAGGGTTAAGCTCTGAGGCAGCAAGCTGTCACTCACAGCCTGCACAGCAGCAATTACACTCGTACTCCCATCTTGATGGCTTTCAATCTGTCTGATGATGAGCAGAGAGGAAACGGAGCTGCTGATCCCTGCTTGTGTGAGATCAAAGGGGAAGAGCTACAGATCAGCACCCAAAACACCTGCCTGGGAGCAGCAGTGTGAGTGCAGGAGCTGCTCCCTCTGCAGCAGAGATGAACACGAAGTCACTCAAGTGCCAGCACGATGCTCCTGCCCAGGGAGACCAGAGCCCTGGGGCTGGCAGAGCAGCCCATGGGGATGGGGCTCATGGAGAAGGGGATGTAAAACCAACCTCAACTTCATCCCTTGGCCCGTAAGCCAGGATTAAATTCCCATGATCTTTCCAGGGTGATCCTGCTGCTGATCAACACTTTTGACCTGGAGGAAGGCTCTTTGACAGCGGACAACCTCAGTGAGATGAAGGACTACCTCATGGCCACGCACCCGCGGGAATATGCCTGGTTGTCACCACAGCTTAAGAACTGCAGCCTGGAAGCTGAACTAGATACGGTGAGTCAGGTCACCCACTCCTGTCCTCACACCCAGCCCACGCAGCCCCACGTGAGGCTAGGAGCTGTGGAGGGGCTCGTTCCCACACCTCAGAGTGGGATGGGATGGGACAAGGGGGCACTGGATCAGCCCAGTAAGGGGCTCACTTGGGTCATTAGCCATAGAGCTGGGTGTCAGTGCTGTCCTGCTGGCTCTGGCTGAGGGACAGGGCAGGACATGAAGGTTTGGGATGGATGCTGAGAGTAGCATGACACCATTTCCATGCAGTGCTATTAAACCAGCACAGATCTCATCTCCCTCTGCTGTGCAAAACACCACGATGGGTGGATTTTGCTGTGGCATAGGGTCAGTCTCTTATGTCCCTATTGTTATGTCCTTTATGGAGCTGAGGAGCTGCCCATAACTCACTTCTTGTCCCCTTCTCACCATCAGGCTGTCCAGGGGACGGGGCTGGCGTTTATCGTCTATTCCGAAGCCATCAAGAACATGGAAGTGCCCCAGCTGTACTCTGTGCTCTACTTTGTCATGCTGCTGATGCTGGGCATCGGGAGCATGCTGGGAAACACGGCTGCTATCCTCACACCGCTCACCGACAGCAGGGCCATTGCCACCCGCTTCCCCAAGGAGGTCATCTCAGGTGAGTGCCCACCATGGCACAGTGCAGGCCACCAGCGAGCACAGCTTTGCTGTCCCACTGCTGTTGGGGGCTCCTCTTTGACATCAGGTGGAGCAGGGAACACCAAACATGCTGCCCAGCCTGGAGAGCACCTTCCTTCCCTTGGGAGCTCTCAAAGAACAGTGCCCAGGGCAATCATGGCTGTTTGCACACCCCAGCTCCCTCAGACTGCTGTCTACTGACCAGTGGCAAAGGGCCAGGACAAGTGTCAAGACACCTGCATTGAGTGGCTGAGAGTCACATCTCCAGTATCCCAACTGTGAGCCACCTCAGCCTTTGGCCAAAAGCGATAAACATTTCCATTCAGGCGTGGAAATCAGTTGTCCCACCTGAAAACCTGTTTTAGCTGGATGCCCAGCAGTAACCGCAGATGCTTCACGTACATAGAATCACAGACTGGTTTGGGTTGGAAACGATCTTAAGATCATTCAGTTCCAACCCCCTGCCACACCTCACAGGGAAGAACTTCCTTATATTCAACCTGAACTTCCCGTGTTTCAGTTTGAACCCATCACCCCTTGCCCTATCTCTACAGTCCCTGATGAAGAGTCCCTCTCCAGCATCCTTGTAGCCCCCTTCAGACACTGGAAGCTGCTCTGAGGTCTCCACGCACCTTCTCTTCTCCAGGCTGAACAGCCCCAATGTTCTCAGCCTGTCTCCATTACAGGAGGTGCTCCAGCCCCTGAGCATCCTCGTGGCCTCCTCTGGACTTGCTCTCCATGTGACAAGGCTGTAGCCAAGACTGTTGTCTTGACCCTGTTGTGGTGATGTGCTGTGACGGCAGCTCTGAGGAGCAGCAGTTTAAGGACATACCAGCAGAGCCACACACACATAGAGATGGGCCTCTCCAAAGGGAAAAATAATCACTTTCTCCTCTCGGAAAGCTGCTTCCCAATAGGAATCACCACAAATCCCATGAGCTTTGGTTTTCCAGGTGTAACAGCAGGGTCCCTGTTTGCCCCCCACAGGTGCTGTGTGTTTCATTAACTGTGTGATCGGCCTCATCTTCACCATGGAGGCTGGGAATTACTGGTTTGACATATTCAATGACTATGCAGCCACCCTCTCACTGCTGCTCATCGTGCTGGTAGAAACCATCGCGGTGTGTTACATCTATGGGATAAGAAGGTAAGAAAGAGCTTGAACCCTCCTTTCTTCACAGTGGGCTAGCTGGGGGAGTGAACACAGAATAAACACCTCCTCGGGTGAGATGTTTCTGCTGCTTGTGGTACCCACAAGGTGATGGGGTCTCCCCTGCCCTGCAGTCCCCTTCCAGTGCCTTGGGTTCAGGGCTGTGTGGTGTCCAAGCCGTACACACAGATCCCTGCTCTCACCTTTGGTCTCCAGGGCATCTTCTGCCAGAGATGCTCCTCCTTTCACAGTGATTCAGTGTGAGCACAGTGCTGGCAGGTCTGCTTTCAAAGATCCACACATTTCCCAGGTCAGCCCTTGCGGGTAGAAGCAAGATTCAGCACCAAGGTTTTAAGCAGCAGAGGTGTTTGTGCTCAGGGCACCTAAAGGGAAATGCTGTAGCATTTGCATTGTTTGCATGCTAGCAAACTGGTACCTACATTGGTATTCCAGCCTTGATGAGTTCAACGCCTGTGAGGTGGATCCAGGCTTCCTGTGTGGCTTTAGGTACCATTCCCAGCATCTTCCTCAGGGACAGTCAAGTAACAGTGGTGAGAACAGAACAACTCAACTACACCACAACAAGTGGTGTCTTCTACACAGTACTGAAGCATCACTGCTTTTCTCCATTTCCTTACATCAAGTAATGGTCTGAACTTGGACTCGGGACTTTTCCTGCTGTACCTATATCTAGCTAACTCTTCCTCAGTTTGGGATCCTCTTGGAAGCCTTGCTCTCTTGATTTCATTCTCACTCTATGATCCCACCTGAAGAACAATACCTCTCTTCTCCTTACTTTTCTGGTCAACTGTCCTCCCCTTTCCCATCTTACCTATTTAATTCTGTAGGTGGCTTTGCAATAACCCCAATCAAGGCATGGACTGAACATGTGCAGCTGTTCTCAACATGTGCTTATTGTTGGTTTCTCCTTACACACAGATTTGAGAAGGATCTTTACACCATGGTTGGACGCAAACTCAACTGGTACTGGAAACTTATGTGGGCTTTTGCCAGCCCTTTGCTAATTATAAGCCTATTTATATTCTACCTCACCGACTATATCCTCACGGGAACGCTGCAATACCAAGCATGGGATGCCACACAGGTAAAACAGTTTTGGGTTAGGGGTTGTTTTTAAACTTCCCTTAATTCCTGCACGGAACTGAGCTTTCTTTAATAGTACATTGTTCCACAAAACTGCCTTCTGAAGGGGGAAGCTGGAGCCAGGGCCATGCCTTAATGTTGTAGAAAGGTTACCCAGGGAAAATGTGACCTAGTACAATGGTTGTGTAAAATGCAGTCATTTCCCTCTTGAGTCTTGATTGTACATTTGAAACAGTAACATTTTCTTAATGTTGAAGACCCAAATAACATTTTCAAACTATAAAGAGAAAAATTATTTTCAAAGTACAGTATTTTGAACAAAATCACAGAATCACAGAAAAGTTAGGGTTGGAAAGGACCTTAAGATCATGAAGTTCCAACCCCTCTGCCATGGGCAGGGACACCTCGCACTAAACCATATCACTCAAGGCCTCGTCCAACCTGGCCTTGAACACTGCCAGGGATGGAGCATTCACAAGATGAGCGGTGTTTCAACAGACCCGAGCTGCTGCTGGAAGAAATAATAATTACTCATACTAATTATTATTGTTTCCATAATTACCATACACATTTTTCTTCACAAAACACTTTGATACAAGTTCTTCACTGTGAGGGTGCTGAGGCGCTGGCACAGGGTGCCCAGAGAAGCTGTGGCTGCCCCATCCCTGGCAGAGTTCAAGGCCAGGTTGGACACAGGGGCTTGGAGCAACCTGGTCTGGTGTGAGATGTCCCTGCCCGTTGCAGGGGGTTGGAACTGGATGATCCTGATGGTCCTTTCCAACCCAAACCAGTCTGGGATTCTATGAATGCTGAGCTGTGTATTTATCACAGTGAATTACAACTGGGTAAGTAATCACTGTTTTCATAATCTTTCCTGGTAATGTTCCTAGCACACACAAATTAAGACACATTTTCCTGGGACCTGTGGCAGTCCTGGCCTGGTGACTGGGTGTCAGCATGAGCCCCCAGGCTCCAGGAGAGGAGCACAGAGACCTGACAGAGGTCAGGGCCAAGCCACCTCATTAAGAAAAATCAATCAAGCCCAAATCTGCTCTTTCCCACAGCTTGTATAAGTGAAGTGTTCCTCAGTATTTCTGTCAGCAGCTCTGGTTTTGTTAATTTTAAGCTTGTAGGGTTGGACAAAGAAAAGTATTGAGGGCAGCGCTGGTCTCTGTGGGTGTCCTGTTCAGAGCTTTGCTCCAGACCCTGCTACAGAACACTGATAGAATAACCCCAAATCCAACTCTGCTTCTCTCCCTTGCAGGGGCAGCTGGTGACAAAGGACTACCCAGGCTATGCCCTGGCCATGATCGGGCTGCTGGTGGCATCATCCATCATGTGCATCCCCCTAGGGGCACTAGTAACATTTATAAGGAAGAGACTGAAGAGGGAAAGCGTTTCAACCACTGCCTGAGTGCCCACAGCTGGATTTGGGAAGACCTTTACCCCCGTCGCCAGCAGATGGGCACTTCTGGAAGACAGCAGCAACCATTATTTGTAGCAGCTATTTCTAGAGTTGAGAATTGTGGGTGCTATATTGACCAAAAAGTGCTCTTAGGAGGTTCCACAGTGGTTTGGAAAAACAAAGAGCTCTTCTGTAACACGATGAAGCTTTTAAAAAGGCCTCTGTGAGAGAGGGGAAAACACAAGAGCAGCTCACAAAATGCTAGCATAAATTAACCAGCACATCAACCCACTATACAAGGTTAGGTAGTTCTTTCCCTCTGTTGTAACACTGCCTATGAGGAAACGTGAGCAACCAACTAAGCATGTTCTTGTACCAGTGAAGACCCTTACTATTCCAGAAATCCACTCCTAAGCATGCATGTTATTTGGAATGACATGTTTTTACCAACAGATGCAACTGTTGAAGTCTTGCAATGTGAATGTGATAATCCCCTTTCCTACAAGGGAGAAGTCAGCAGGATGGTACTGGAGATAAAACGTGGCTAAAACTGCTTCTTTGCTACTTGTGTCCAGCAAAGCAGTTTATATGTACATATACATACATAGATATACATACACATTCATGAGCTGCAGTTCTCTCACATCCAGAAGTAGTAAACTTTCAATTCCAGTATGTAACTGTGCACTGTGCTGTACTTTGTGTTTTCTAGGGATACACTTTAAGTACACTGGAAGAAATCTGTGCTAAAGCTGCTTTACAAGCCCCACCAAACAAAAGTAGGATTAGCTTTGCCAATGTTCATGCCCAGATATACTCTAATCGTGAGCTGTAACAATCCAGCTGTTCCACAGACCTGGTTCATTTCCCTATGTGACCATTTTATAAAGAAAGCAACATGTTTAAATTGTAAGCTTCATGTAATAAAAACCAAGTAAAATTATAGGTGTGACCTTTAAAGAGGTTACTCTGAAGAACATTAGAGACACTCATGGGATGTGGGTTCTTAATACAGTGTCTTAATGATGGAACCATTAGAGGATGGCAAATGCCTTACTAAAGAGGGACTAATTTCAAACAAACAATGTTAATGGCAACCAAGACAAGTCCCTTGCTTTGGGGCAAAAGGCAAGAGGCAGTTGTATGGCCTTTAGGGGTGGGTGGAACCTCAATGATGACAACCACCACTGACACCACGCACCGCTAGCCACAGGCCATGCCTCCCTCCCCAGGCTTTGCTAACAAAGGAAAGACACTTTTTCACATCCCAGTTTATTAAAAATGGATACCATAAACAAGACCTGTACAAAAAAATATCCGAAATTGCCCACCATGTGGTAACAGTTGCCTGGTGAGAAGTTACCGTCTTGGGCCTCCTCGGCCTCTTCCACGACCTCGGCCTCTGCCACGGCCCCTGCCACGGCCTCTTCCGGCAACTGAGCAGATGAAACAGAAAGAATATATCATGTGAGACCCACTTTCACCTTGGTTAAAACATTCTCTATCAAGCATAAACAACACACATACTGCTTCCCTGTGATGAGGTATTAAGTTTGTTAATGCTCAGTAGGTTTCAGGCAGTATTTCCATCACCTGTGTTAGCTTTTTCAGTAGACCACTGCCACAGACTACTGTCTTCACTGCAGAAAACAAGGGGATGTAACAGTTTGCTGCTCCCAAATGTAAGGTAAGTCTGACAGAGAACTTATTTCTCTTTTTCTTCATCTTTTTGAGATAATCTAGTTTTTCAGGCATCACAAAAGCATACACAAGAGTACATTGTCACTATTCATTACGATGTAAAAGATGCTTTTTCTTGCAACAGCTTGCACTGTGGTTCATCAAGTATTCTGCTAAAGAAAAATGGTGAGGTTTAACATGCTGTGAGATTCCCAAACCCAGCCTTTCTCAGGCACGTTTTGAAAGGATCCCACCCCCAAACACCTCCCAGTTTTCAGTGATGCCTCTGCCACGTTCCCATGTGCTTCTTAGGCCATGGGCTCGGCTGCGTGCTCCCGCTTTCAAAAACTGCTATTTTATGGTAAAGGGCAGGCAGAATCACAGAATAACTGAGGCTACAAACAACTGCTGTAGGTCTTAAGATCCGAATCGTGATAACGGGATTTCACCCCTTTCTCCTAAAGGGAGTTTCTTTCTCCTAAAACCTGTCCCACCAGGTTGCAAGGCCAAACTTTTGCAATTACTGGTTGATTTCAAAGAAGCCTGTCAGTGCAGGGCTCAAACAGATACTTAAAACTCCATGGAAGTGGGTGGCTGGGCAAGAGCCACACTCCAGCACTCACATTTACCCGGCAGACTGCAACAATGACTCTGTTCCACCTGACTCTACCTAGGTTAGAAATGGCTTGCAGACAGAGCAGAGGCACAAATCAGTGAGAAGGCTGGTGGCTCTGCTGGCAACAGCCTGACCCTGTGAAATACACAGAAGCATCAACACCTGACTGATTACAGCACCTACATGAATCAGCAGCAGCCACACTGAGAAAGTGTTGGCACACTCAGACCCTGGGCACACGTTCCACGTACACCTCTCAGCCAGCACCCTGCCTTCCACTGGCAGTCTCATTTGCCAAGGACACACGCTGTGTTACACACTTCTGAAGCCCGAGGGCATTTGCAGGTTAAGGCAAAGCACAGCACAACACAGCATCGGTCTGAGAGTGCTTCAGTCCACTGGAGATGCCAGGAGGATGAAACTGAGGTAACTAGCGCTATCACAGCTCCTTTCCTCTCTCCAAGTTAAAAAGAGGTAGTGCTGTTCTTGTTCACATCGTGAGGTTCAGAAAAAACCCAACCACACTCACTTCTCCCTGTGGTCAGGTTGTTTTTAATAGATGAGAGAGGAACAAAATGCTTTGAGGAGCTTTATCCTTGCTCTCTATAAAGGCAGTGGCCATACCCCTTGTACACTGCACTGGACACACCACAGTGTTCCTCACACCGTTGCAGTGAGGTAGGCACACCAATTTGTAACATACGCATGGATCAAAGACCACAGATCCAAATATCTAAACGCTAGTTACAGGAGAAATGGTACCACATTTAGAGCACGATCAGCTTTCACTTACAACTTACTTACTATTTCAAAAGTACACAGATTAACTGCTGGGCGAAACACACAGTGCCTGAAGACAACCTATAGACCTTCTGGGGTTTACTGGATATTAACCTTAAACGGTGTGGATTAACACTGAATTGCTCTCTACACCATTAGGCTTCTAGAGAGAAGGTTTCTGTTCAACAGTCCTGTGATAAAGATTTACTCAAGGTTAAAAACACTTACATTTTTTAAAACAGATGTATAAAAAGCCGTACCTATGATTTCACATGAAAGAAAGCTCTACAGATGCTAAGGTGGGGAAGGCAGACTTAGTCCAGTGTCAAACCCTCTGAGACAACAGAACTAGCTGCCAAATGCAGATATTAAGACATGCAAATCCGATGTCTTCAGATTCAGAGCGCTAAAACGCATACAAACACAGAGCAAACACAGACCAGGAAAGCACAAACCTGCTTCTCTTTTCTTGGATTTGACTTTTGGTTCAACATCCACTAGCAAAGTATCCAGAGGCAAACTGTCGGGCAGGATGAAGTATCGGATGTTATTCCCTCGAATACTCAGCGTCTCCAGCTGTACAGGTTCTCTGTTCTTCAGAGTCATCTTCACTGCTTTGAGATGTGTGTTCATACTGACATCCACTCCTGAAACAACACAAGTCTTATTTCAGGGATCAAAGGCTTTAAGATGGTCCCTTGTTGGCTGGTTTTATGCTCCCTAATTTAGCAATTGCTGCCTTTAGCATCTCCTTGCTAGAGATCTGGATCTAGGCAAGAGTGATTTTGTAAATGGTTAAAACAATTCCTTTGAACAACAAGCGAACTGCTGCTTAATCTTTATACTCCTTTCAAAGACAAACAAACCAAACCTTTGAGGAAGAAAACCAACACCTTCTGTAAGCCTTAGAAAAATCACAGACTGGTTTGGGTTGGAAGGGACCTTCACGATCATCCAGTTCCAACCAGATGGAAACTGCAGTTCACAAACACCTGCTAGTTCAGTGACACCCACCCCAGCAGTTCCTACACGTTCCAACTCCTTCACAAACAACCCTTTGTGCTAAAAATCAGGATAGTCTCGTCCCATAAACACAGAAAGACAAACTGTAGGATCTCTTATCAAGACAAACGAGTGAGGAGCAGGCCAGAAACAGAACCACTACTGTGCTGTGCTTATTCCATAGATTTTTCTGTCCTCTCCCCTTACTTCCGGGTTTTACGCAGTATTCCAGCACCTACACTTGGTATGTGCAAGGTTCACATGACATGAAACCTGCCCCTTCACCAAGCCTGCTCTGGCCAACTCACACCCAAAGAGGAAGAAGAGATGGCCCAGCAATGACGGGCACAGCTCATGCATCAGTATAAAGGGAAGATGCTCATGTTAGAAACACAGACTGCATGAAGTTTTTACAGAAAATGAGAGATTCTGACCCACATTTAAGCCTGCAAGAGCACTGAGGCCAGGAGACAAGCAGTTGGCTTGCTTTCTATCCAGCTGGGTTCAACAGAGCTTGCTGCAATCAGACACCAGAGTGGTGCCTTCACGTCTACTCAAAGCTGATGGATCTGACAGCAAAATAATGTCCGTTCTGAACTTTGCCAAATCTCAGCAGATTGCTCCTGGCCAAAAAAGCACCTCAGCAATCCCCTGGAATACAACTCTGCCAAGTTTGAATTCTGTTTTGTTTTACTAACAGTGCCTGGGCAGAAGGAGTCTAAAAGCAGCCTGGGGTGGGCGAAGGAAAGGAGACCAAGCACATTCATCAGCTTAACTGTAAGGGTCTGCTTCATCAAATGCAACGTGCCCCATCTACATTCCTGGTCATCTCTACAGCAATGCTAACATTAATGTTCTCAGAACAAGATCACTCACAGATATTATTAAAAGCAAACAGAATAGTCGGCTTATTTTTCATGAGAACAATATACTAAATCATAAAGGCTTTTTCTGCAACACAGAAGTTCCTGACAGCCAATAACATTCCACGAACTTATGCAAAAGACCTCTGGCATCAGCAGGAGACCAGGTGTGCAGCACCAGGACCCCTTTTTGCTGTGTATCGCCCATCAAGCTCTGTGTTTTCAAACCCGTTCCATAAAATCAATGTAAATATATGCAAAGATGTGTTCTCCCTTTCTGCTGCACTCTGGGGAGACCCCCCCTGTAGTCCTGGTCCAGCTCTGGGGAAACAACACACAAGGGACATGGAGCTATTGGAGTGAGTCCAGAGGAGGCCATGGAGATGCTGCAAGGGCTGGAGCAGCTCTGCTCTGGAGCCAGGCTGAGAGAGCTGGGCTGGGTCAGCCCGGAGAAGAGAAGGTTCCTTAAAGGGAGACCTTAGAGCAGCTCCAGTGCCTAAAGGGGCTACAGGAAACCTGGAGAGGGGCTTGGGACAAGGGCCCCTACAGGCAAGGACAAGGGGGAATGGCTTTAACCTGGCAGAGGGGAGACTGAGATGAGCTCTTAAGCAGAAGCTCTTCCCTGTGAGGGTGCTAAGGCGCTGGCACAGGGTGTCCAGAGAAGCTGCGACTGCCCCATCCCTGGCAGTGGTCAAAGCCAGGCTGGATGAGGCTTGGAGCAACCTGCTCTAGTGGAAGGTGTCCCTGCCCATGGCAGAAGGTGGAACTGGATGAGCTTTAAGATCCCTTCCAACCCAAACCAGTCTGGGATTCTACGATTTAGAAGGTCACCTCAACAAGAGCAAAAATGAGCTCAATAGAAATTACCTATTTTTTTAGATAAAAAACGCCGAAACCCAAAATTTCACTGATTTAAGACCATATCAGCACTTAACATTTGCCCTCAGAAAAGAAATCCCTCTTCTGGCATTCAGCTGCAACGTTTCTATTGTTACTGCACCT